GTTCAAGAGGAAAATACACATTTCAGCAAATAAAAACATTGTTCTACAAAAAGAGTAAGAGAGAGAGAGAATCAAATCTAGAGTAAGAAAATGATTTGTTGCCGCTTTTGAATTTTCTAGCTCTTGATTCCTCTTCTTTTTCCCATTTTGTTCTTGCCTCTTTTTGCCCAAAATGGTCTCTCCAAAATCTTCATTTTTCCTAGTGCAAAACTTCCTATTTATACCCCTTCTTTTTTCAGCTTTGCCTAAAAACCTGTGCAGGAATATTCATTATCTGACTTGGATAGTGCTGCAACGCTGGAAACTTGGTGCTGCAGCGAGGTTCTGTTTCTTTGTTTTTTTGCTTCAAGCTGCCTTGTGCAGAGTTGCTTTGGACCTCACTTTCAGCTTTATTTTTGGTCATGATTCCTTTTGATTTGGGCCAAGTGCTAAACATCAAAGTTGTAGCTCATCGTCTCGGCTTTCTATTAGTTCAAAATTCACCTCGATCAGACTTCCACAACTCAATTTATGCCTCAAACACTTCAGCATATTCGATTACTTTTAAGCCTAATTGCATCCTCCTTTGCATTCATGTTCCAAGTCTTTGCATGTCTTTCAACATTAAGAGATTAAATAATCAGATGTTGAATTGAGGAATTTTGACAAGAAATTAAGCTAAACTTGCATGAATGGAACTTGACATCAAATAAGTTAAATTATTTATAAAAAGAAAATTAGAAACTACCTAATGATAAAAAAAACTAGAAGACTTACCAAAATTCAAATTTCAAAAATACTTATGGTAACGCTATATAATAGAGTTATCATTTTCTTACAGCATGCATGCGTTCACACTTAAACTTTGTGTTGAGGGTTTGGTTTTGGCGTAATAACATATTTGAGGAGGTTTTGATGTTTGCGGGCTTGCATTTATTTCTTTGTCACCCTATACATGATGTTATGCTGCCTTCTTCACTTTCGGCTTCAATCAAAGAAGTTGTTTACTCACGATTTGTGCAATCTTCAGTTTAATTTGCACAATCAATGGGCTTTATATCAGCATGACTTCTTTTAATTTTGTTATTTTCTAAGTTTTTGCTGTGTTCTGTTTTGCTGCTTTAATTCCCCTTTGCAACTTGTCCAGTATTTAGCAGGTAATTTTCCATGCTTTCTTTGGATGAATAAAAAACTAAAAGTTATCTAAAAAAAATGTTATGTTGATCTTGTATGTTTGAGTTTCTAAATAAATTCTCTTTAGTTTTCAAAAGTATTTATCTCTAAAGAACTAATCTCTTTTTTAATTGTTAATCATTCTTTCCTTGAAAATTTGTGTGGTTTTTTTAGGGAACACTAAGGATGATAATGAGCGTACTTGGCAATAATACTCAAATGCAAAAATAATTAATGTAAAATATTTTGCAAAAGGAAAAAAACATAGAAAGAAATAAAAAACCACTAAGACTCCGTCTCCGATTAATATTTTTACTTTTTTTTTTGTGAAAAAATGAATAAAAAGTTAGTATTTTACTAGGCTTTTTAGATGTTAGTTAGCTAGATAATTTGTACTTAGTTAGACTCACATTTATGTTTCTCTCTAGTACAAAAAGCTCTGTATTTGTCCTTACTGTAATGAGAATTTTTCCCTGACATTCTCATATTTCTCTCATTCTCTCTTGATATACGTCAACAATCGAGGTACATCCCCAAAATCATTTAATCGAGGACTGATATCCCCAGAATTTTTCCCTGCCCACGTAAATTACCAACACAAGATAAAAATAAAGAGTATTCTGACTAGACGAATATAACATAAACATTTTATTTATTATTGATTTATTCTAAATTTTTTATTCACTGGTAACTACTCGTTACCCTGTTAGGCATTTTGTTTATCCAAGCTTGCATCCAATCAATCATTAATTACCAACACCCCACTGCTCATTTTCAATCTTTGGTGCGTATGGGGCGAATCCAATTTGCTCCGACCAGTCACGATACGTATTCAACGTTAAGGTTTCGCCGGTGGCGTTGTAAATCAGGCAAACTGTAGCTGCTCCAGCGCCGGCTTTATCCATAAGTTTCTCCACTTGTTGGCGAACGTTAACGTCTTTATCTTCCTAATTTTTCATCAGGAGACTCACACGTGCTTTGTCTTGTCCTGGCACTCTACCTTTCCCTTAAGAATTTGATCGGTGATGGGGTTACCAAATATGTATACCATTTTAGGTTAATTTGCAGGCTGCAAACTCTACATATTACTTTTGCTATTCTCCGCCTGGAAACAGAGTTATATACACCTCTCCAACCGGCACCGACCGACCACTAGGGGAGCAACCAACAACGCCAAACAACATCCAAGACCCTTAGTTTCATTCGGTTGATCGGGAATGGAAATCCTCTGCCAATTAAACTGCCCCGTTCTCTGCCACACTCACAAAATTTTGCCACGTAAAATAGCAAGAATTTTTTTTTAACATACCAGAATAGAGGAAATTGTAAAAAATATCAACCTCATAGTCATTTCAAAAAAAGAAAATTGTGAGAAATGATCTTATAAGGTTATTTTAAAAATAATTCTTAATAAAAAGTTAACTATTTTTATTGAATATTTACCGTTATTTAATAAAAATGCCATTGAGACCATTTCAAATAAATTAAATCTTTTATTACAATTTTTCCTCCCGATTTTTCTCTTCGGCATCTATCTGTTGCGCTCCTAATTTCTCACTCTCGTAGCTCTATCTAATTTTATCGATTTCTTTCTCTCGCATCCGTCTGCTGTGCTCTCGATTTCTCTCTCCATGATCTAACTCTCTCTAATTTTATCACTATTGTCATCTCTCTA